TAAAACAAAGGGCCATCAAACTATTACGTAAAACAAAGGGCCATCTAACTATTACGTAAAACAAAGGTCCATCTAACTATTACGTAAAACAAAGGTCCATCTAACTATTACGTAAAACAAAGGGCCATCTAACTATTACGTAAAACAAAGGGCCATCTAACTATTACGTAAAACAATGGCCATCTAACTATTACGTAAAACAAAGGGCCATCTAACTATTACGTAAAACAAAGGGCCATCTAACTATTACGTAAAACAAAGGGCCATCTAACTATTACGTAAAACAAAGGGCCATCTAACTATTACGTAAAACAAAGGTCCATCTAACTATTACGTAAAACAAAGGGCCATCTAACTATTACGTAAAACAAAGGGCCATCTAACTATTACGGTTCGTTTTATGTACGCGCTGAATATTATGACTCAAAATATTTTGCTCGTTTACTCTTACGGGTGTTCAATTGATTTAGACGCATACCATTTAGGCAAACAAATCTGTTCTCACACAGGGTACCGCATACCATTTAGGCAAACAAATCTGTTCTCACACAGGGTACCGCATACCATTTAGGCAAACAAATCTGTTCTCACACAGGGTACCGCATACCATTTAGGCAAACAAATATGTTCTCACACAGGGTACCGCATACCATTTAGGCAAACAAATCTGTTCTCACACAGGGTACCGGTATACTTAGAAGTTATATCAAAGGTTCTCATACCACTTACAAATGCACTACTTTTTTTTTTTCTTTTCAATACCGGTACCATCCATTGAAAAGTGCAAATACCTATGTCCAAGTTTTGATGAACTTATCTTGTGCTCCATTTCACTCCATGCACTCATAACGAAACAACTTTAAAACGCACATTTACTTGTATTGACTTAAGGTACAGCACTGTTGTGACATAGATTAAAACAAGAGAAAAGCCAATTAAAATTAAACTTAAAATTTTATTCTGATGCCAAATTAAAAATACTCCAGTTAAAAAATGGAATGATGTTAGATTCTAACAAAATCTGAGTTCTAACCACAAGTTCTGTTTTGATTCCAATGTTACTAACTCACGAACCCTCTAGTGTGATAAATGGTATTATCATCAAGTGGTAAATATCAAAAGTGTATTTCTGGAAGGTTTTTGTGTGTCTTACTTCATCATGGTTACATCAACAACTAATATGAAAATACAACACCCAATGAAGAAAAGATGAAATAACAACATCAAGTCATTTTATGTCATAAGTTAGATTAAAGCTGATAAAAATGTTGATCATTTACCAAACTACCCAAAAATTGATTTACTAATGAAACAAGTTGCTTCAAATGATTATTTTGAACCTCTAAAATTGATTAGCCCCTTCTTTCAAATTTAACAATCCTTACAATATAATATAAATTTTGTATAGACCGATTTTGAAATGGGTTTAGCTGCAAAAAGATATGAACAATAAAATGAATATTTAAAAATGAATGATATAATCAGGTTGTAACAATATGAAACAATGATACATAAAGTGAACATTAAACACAGAATATGAGATATGCACACTTAGCTATGAGTTTATATGGTTTTATAGTCAGGTTGTAGTTGAAGCGATGAGATTAAATGCAGTGAAATAATGAATGGCAATACAAGTACTGGCTGCCTGGAGCCACAAAACACCAATGAACATCAAGTCGCACTAAAGCTAGAGTGAAAAACTAACTAGCCAACAACTAAGTCGAATATGGAATAGATCAATGAGACAATGAAATAACTTCAAATGTAAAAATATGTATCATCATGGTATCAAGTCAGGTTGTATACATGTAACGTCATCATGGTTCTCACACAAAATGAACACAGAACACAAAAGAATAACAAGAGCTCAAGGGCCCAGGTTTTAAGAGATCTTGAACTGCCTTATACGGAGTTTAGTGCATTCAGTCTCTTGTCTCGCCTTCTTCATCTTCTTCCTCAACACCACGGATGTAGAGAACATTGTTACACCTAAAATGACAAAGTAAAACAAGTTTAACTAATCGTTGATTGCTTTATAAAGCAGTTATTTATCTCTGCCTAAATATCATCAACATTGAACATCTTGTAAATAATCCTTAAGCATATCTATGTGTTGGTTTAACCCAGAAAGTGTAATATACTACAAAGAGTATAAAACTTAGTAGCGCAAAAACTACAAACTAATAGTAATAATTCAGAGGGTGGGGGGGTGTGAGGAAGAGAAATCAACAAAAACTTAAGAATAATAACATTTATGAAACTAGGTTTTGACAAATACAAGCAGTTTGGCCGCCATAGTTTTTAAATACATGTTCTTTTCTTTGCCTAGTACAAAACACTGATAATATAGGTAAATTGAAGCAAATACTTTTATTGCAAATTTAGCCTGTGCTTAAAAATATCACCATAGTTTTTTTTTATTGAAATGACACGTTTCAAGCTATTGAAAGAACTGCACCATTACTGACACAGTTTAATTTGCTATTGAACTTTTTCAAATGGAAAAGGAGTTATAATATAATACATCAGGAGATGATATCGCAATACTTCAATGAAAATTATATCAGGACAATTAAACTATTCAAAGTAAAAATACTGACACTAAATGTTTAAAAAATGGAAGTATGTTTAGTATCGAATTATCTGAAAAATTAATGTTTAGGTGAACATTTAGGCATGTAACAAGGCAACTAATTTCAAAAAGATCCACTGGTACAAATCATGACACAACGATACAAACAAACATAGATCATGACATGAACTAGCGAAACCTTACCTGATAAGCACCTCTCCAAGATTTCCAGCAAGTTGACTGTCAATATATTCTTCAGTATTGGCTAACTGGAGAAAGATTTTAGGACACTAAATTAAAAAAATGGTTGTTGAAGCAGTAGCAAAACCAAATATTTTTAAATTATATTCAACAGGCATGCATAATTGCATTATTTCCATAAGCGTTAATTTGTGTGCTGATTTAAGAATAATGTATTGTATTTAATTAATTTGTCCGAGTTTGGACATGAGTAATTTAACTAAAATAGCATTGGAAAACACTAACCAATTATGAATGTGTAATTCATTTTTAGAAAATTTAAAATTATATTCAAAATTTTAGTGCATTTTAACTCTTTGATAGAGACTTTAAAGTCAAAACTGCATGAGAAAGTCTTAAAATGTCATGTGTGTAAATAAACGATGCTGCACACACAAGATTACACCCCACAAGTTGGAAATGCAAGTAGAGAAAGCTTTTAAAATAGTATTTTCTTTATCATACCTGGAGATTCATGTACCCATCAACAGAGACGAGATATCCTTTATATTCCATTCCCCATTTTAGCTTCACCATGACTGGTTTTCCCGTAAGCCCATTTAAAAAGGGCTTCGGGTTCATAGGCAGCGTCTGGAGAAATAAAACAAATATAATTAGTTAAATTAGTGTCAATTTTCAATAGACTTAGACAACTATAGCCAATCATCAAACATTGTCACCAGTAGAAATGAGAAGTCAAACTTTTGTTGCAATAATTGTGACAACAAAAGTGATAGACATTAAATGTAAAATTATGTCATGCAGTATCGAAGCAAACAAATGCCAGGAGGGGCCATCTACACAGAAGGTATGCAAAAAAGATTTTTAGGATGGAATTTATGCTCGAGTTATGGATACTGACTTAGCATTCAGGTTAAATAGAGTTATAGATTTCAAGGATTGTAGGTTTTTCTAAAAAAACTATTCATTAACTTTGAATGTGTTGTCCTAATTTTTGTCTCTAGGTAAGTGGTTAAAACAAAATATCCTCTCCCTTTACCTTATTTAGCAGATGTTTTTTGTCCTAATTTTTTTTTAAAGACAACCACCACCATTTAGGGGTTGCAATCTGGGATCCTGAATTTTGAAAATACGGGACCCTAATTGATACTAGAAAAAAACGGGGTTGGATTAATGAGAACCAGGATTTTCGATAATGCCGGGATTTCATTTTCAATTTTTTAAAAATCGGTTTTCTTAGTTTCCATGTCGTAATTCAAGCAAGAAATATCAATAATTTATAAGATATGCTAATCCCTCACACAACATGTCTCAGTCTCAAGTTCAAAGGGAGCCGACCGACGGGCAGAATCTGTGTACTCTTTATTTGTCAAGAATCATGACGTTTTGGTTAGTTTTCTTTTTACATCGTGCGTGTGAAGTGTGTAAGTGGAGACGCGCCATGGCGTGAAGGTACAGGATTGTTAAGTAAATGTTTTCATATTATTGACAAACAAGTGATTATTATAGTAGAATGAAGATCGAATTTTGACTTCCATTAAGAGTTTGTATGGAAATAATAACACTTTGTACTCAAATCACGGGGTCAACTTTAAATAAACATTTTTTTTTGATTGCTTGATTTCTTTTAATTATGCCAAAAAACCTACATATTTAAAAATATGAGCAAACTGTATTTTGATTCAAATACCTTAAGTCTAAGACACAGAAAAATTAAGTTATTTCTATTTTGTGATAACAATATTACTGATTTACATTCACCTCATAATTGATTTTCGATCTATTTTGTCCCAGGCTAAATTTCCCAGTTTGTATGTACCGTACTTATTAAAAACATTTACATGAAAATTTAAACATTAAAAAAAAAAAGTTGTACACGTCAAACCAATTTGATTGAATTAATATTTTATTCTTGATGATTTATGTCCCTTCAGGTTGATAGAAAGAAATGGGGGACCCTGAAAAAAAACCCACCTAAATATGAAAAGCATATGAAACTATCGGAAACAAAAGACATCAGTTTGGTATTATTTCTTGAAAGCTACGGACACTCTCACAGCTAAATGTATTAGATGTAACAAGATACTTAAAACTTTGGGAGGTACAAGTTCAGGCCTTCACTCTCATTTAAAGTCTGCATGTTCCAGTGATTACTTGGGCTTACTACTATGGCCAGATTTCGACCAGATGCGAAAACATATCGTGGATATTCAAAAGCTTGGTCAGGCAGCGGCTTCCTCGTTGGAAATATCTATGATCATAGAAATTGAACATCTTGGATCTGAGCAAGATGAACTTGAAGTTACACTGCCGCTTAAGAGACAATTAGAATTTGAAATCCAAAAGAAACTTCAGGCTCTGGATAATACTTCCAAAAAAAAAGGATGGGGACATTATTACATTGGTAAAAATAGAAATGGCTTTAAGAATGGCGGTTCAAGAGGAAAATATATAGAAAATGAGTATGATATCCTAAGGTCTATTCCTCCGACCAGTGTGGAGTTTGAGCGGGTGTTCTCTTCCTCAGGTTAATTTTTTAACCATATGCGGTCAAAGTTAAGTGACAAAACATTATACACTTGGTCATTTTTACAATTTCATTATTTAAATTTGACCAAAGATTAAAACAAAACCAATTATTTTAATATTTGATAAATAAATCTATTTAAATTGAAACGTTAAGAATATTATTTTTGTTCGTTAGATTCAAGTCTGAAGTTAAACATTTGTATTATTGTTAAAAGATTAATAAAAATCTAAATGCGATATTTTTTCTGAATTTTTTTATTTCATTGATAAATCCTAACCTCTAATCTTGAATCTTGACTAAAAATTCTTTAAATATCGAAAATACCCAGATTCCGGTATATCGAAAATACAGGTTTAGGCAAAGGGGACAGGTTTTGCGACCCCTACCACCATTGCTGCAGTGATGTCATGGCAAGAAAGATAGTGGCCATGGGAAAAAAGTAGTTAAAAAAACTGGGGAAATGAGTGGCACAGATAGCGTAATTGTACCAATTTTTATTTTAAGTTTACTTTATAATACTGTACTATATTGATAATATTTTGAAATAACTAAAACAAAGTTTGACGAAAGTTCCTACATTTTAGGCTTTTTGTTTTTATCAATTTAATAATTTATTTTAAAATAGGGTTATGTCTAGCTAGGAAGTCTAAATGGCACCAACTGGAATATATGCTTTAATACTACTACCATGTCACAAATATGTAAACACAATACATTGTAAATATTATATTACCGGTATATAGCATTTTATGTATACGGGCATGTTGATGATGTAGTAGAGAGCCTCGAGTTTAAGTTAAAATAAGTACTCGCATCAAAAGAAGATGACTGGGCTAATGGCTAATTTAGACTATCTGCACCATAAGTTATAAGTTAAGGTTTGTTAGTGTAGACTTCTCTCCCTTTCGTTTACCCCTGTGTTGCTAGTAAAGATCACTTTTCTTTAATTTCATATGATTGGAATGTTTTAAATTAAAATTTCATTGGCTGGTTGATCATAACATTTACATTTTGTGACATTTTGGAAAATGAGTACATTGTATTGATTTTTCAGACTACTTTTGGATATTCTTTTTGGGGGAACCTGAAATAAAGTGTTTTTTAAAAGTGTATTCTATGAAAATGTAAGTTGCGTTTTCATTATTTTTAAAATTATTTTGGATAGTTTTTCTTCCTTTCTACATTTAAAAAAAAATCAAAGTGTGTAACTCAATTGTAGCTGTATATGTGTTTTAGTTTTGGGAATGGAGAATGTACCAGCTGAAAATATGGCTGAAAGAGAGCGAGCGCAGAATATCTAGAAGAATACAATAAAGTAGCTTAGCTTCCCTCGAAATTTATGTACCTGCGGAAATTCTTTCATTAAATTGTAACATTATTGTCCTATTTTAATTTGGTTTCTCTAGGTAAATAGCTAAACCAGCACATTTTCTGCCTTTGCCCTCACCATATTAGCAGAAGTGTTTTTTTTTTTTTGCATAGGTGTCATGGGTAATGGCAACCAAGGTGGTGGCCGTGGGAAACGTCATGGCATGGATAGCGTAAATTAACCAGATAAACTTACTGGTGAAATTTAATGTCAGATCAGCATAAAATAAAATTTAGGGAAATAAGAATTTTATAACATGATAATGTCATTTACAAATCCCACGAACTTGAGATTTATTTTTTAGGAAAAGCTGTTTTTTTAACAAAGTATAATATTAAAGAGTAAATCTAACTCCCATTAAATTATCAGTCTACCAATAACTACAGTTACAGTAAAGCTGTAAATGGGTGAAAGAAAAGAAGAAGAGTGTTGGAATCAAACAGGGGTATTAAAAATCGCACAGCAGTAAAAATAGATTTCAAAGGCCCTCTCAGATCCTAAAAAAATAATAAAATGCCGCAATCTGTGACGCAGTGCGCAACAGTTGAGCATGCATTGTCTCATGCCATTAAAAAAAAATAGTTTTTCTCCATTTTTGCACTAGGGGCCATCCATAAATGACGTCACGCGCTTAGTGGGGGTCAGATTTTTATGACCATGTGTGACAATGGGGAGGGGGTCCTCAATGTCACGTCATACAAAAAGCGGAATATTGAAGAGCAGAATTGCACCTAACCCTAAATTACAGATATTTTAACATTATTCTTTGATACAATTAGAAATATTTTATTTTTAAACTACGATTTCTGTCTGAGATAATCAGTAGGCTACAGGTATGTGAGGTCCGAAATATTGCCTCTGATCAAGTTAAAGGACGCCAGCGGGGAGGAAAATCGCGGTGCAGTTACAATGACAGTTGTGAGAATTTATGGCTAAATGTGGACACGGGAGTCATAGAATTGGGACTAGGGGGCCTAGCACATGATTGGGACTAGGGGGCCTAGCACATGAAGTGGGTTGGAATGAGAATGTGTGTGCGCTATACATAGAAATTATATTGCAATAAAATTTTAAAAATTAAACAATGTAGCTATCGCATTAAAAAAAATATTTAATTTTCTATAAACAATGGGAAAAAATAACCAATATAACCAATGCACTAACAAAATTCACCAGAAAAACATTTACTGCTGCATATTAACTAATATTTTATCAGATATTGCTCCATTTAAAACTAAATCATAATTTTTATTGTAAAATTGCCTCTGTTATATTTCCTGTTTTAAAATAAATTACGTTTGGTCTAATTTTTTTTAGATTATTTTTTAAATTTAAAAAAAAATTTTTTTTATGACATTAAAAAATATTTTTAAAATATTCTATTTAATTTTTTTAGTTCTTAAAGCAACAAAGATGTTGATAATATGATGATGAACACTTCTGGAAAGTTTCATATTATTTGTCCACTCTGCTATAAAGTTATGAGCCTTTTCGTAAAAAAAAATTTGAAAAGAGGTCACAAATCTCTATGTAAAAAAAGTGATTTTTTATTCACAAAAAAAATCATATCTTTTTAACCGAAAGTGCTACATGAAAACATATTATTACTTCATATAACAAGGTAGGTACTTGGATAAAATTTTCAAATTGAATAAATTAAAAAATGAACACACCTGTAAGATAGCTCTTGTTAAATGAAGTAATAATATGTTTTCATTTTTCATGTAGCACTTTTGGTTAAAATGTTATGATTTTTTTCATGAATAAAAACTCACTTTTTTTAATTTTCACGAAAAGGCTGATAACTTTATAGCAGAGTGAACAAATATTGTGAAACTTTCCAGAAGTGTTAATCATCGTATTAGCAACATCTTTGTTGATTTAAAAACTAAAAAAATTAAATATAATATTTTAAAAACATTTTTAATGTCATTATAAAAACTTCCACAAAAAAATAATAAAAAAGTATTAAAAAAAATTAAGACCAAATGTAATTTATTTTTAAAAAGGAAATATTATAGAGGCAATTTTACAATAAAAATTATGATTTAGTTTTAAATGGAGCAATATCTGATAAAATATTAGTTAATATGTCTATTAGTGTATGTCACAAATGACCACGCTGGAGAAGGGAGCGATGGGGGTGGGTGCCGCACAAAGGTAACTTATAGGATGGAAGGAAACTGCTGTTAATGGGGTTAAGTTAAGGTTAATAGACTCTCACATCTTGATATAGTGGGGATTGTTTCTTTGGATAATAGTATGTTCGGGTTTTCCAGACTTCGCATGATAATTTTTGGGTTAACAATGGGAAGGTCTAATTGCCCGGAAATTAGGGGGCATGGGTGTGTTTATAGATAGCATTCCTGGACCACCTATGTGGGGTAGAGAACCACATATAAGAGGGAGCTTTCACTGAGTTAAGTTAGTTGAGGAAGAGGGAACAGAGGTACGACGTAGTTGGAGGAAGAGAGAGAAAAGAGCTACGATAGAATCAAGCAGTTGTTAGGGAATAGTTGCTAGTGATCAGGAGATGACAGATGACTAGAAGAACTTATATCTTACAAATAAACACTTTCATTATCGTTGGACACCAGGAGTTTGAGTTGTTGCATTTCGTCCAAGTCTACGTTGTACTTTTGTCTGTCTCAACGCCTAGACACCCACCATATAAATCACAGAGAGGAGTGGTCCTGTACTGACCACTACTTAGTCAACACAGTTTGTGGTAAGTCAGGACCGGAGCCCTCCTCCGTAACAACCGTTCTGTGACAGTGTATAGATATTACAATAAAACCTAATATTAATTAAGATGGAACTTGATTGCTTTAACTCATTCCCGACGGTTGCGACTAAATGCGTCCTCGGGGGGTCCCTCCTGATGCGTCCAAATGCGTCCCGGCGCATAGTTACACACCTCTCTTATTTTTAGTTTAAAAATGGCAATGAAATCTCGCACCCCTCGAGACTTCCGGCTATGGCGTGATTTCTGCGTGATTTTAATTTAGAAACCGGAAGTTTTTATCTTGTTTCACTTTAAAACTACGTGTGCTTTAGTACGGCGCGTCTATATGTACCATGTGTTCGTCCGAGGTGCCGAAAATCGATTTTTTTGGCCATTGTTAGTTATTTTTCCCCCGCTAATGTTATATTTATATTAAACCTTATTCATTTTTTGTTGCATTTGTTCTTAATTCATTAACATTAAATAATATTTAGCAACTTAAAAAAATATTTTAAAAATATAAATCAATTTCAAAACTGAGTTGCTTCCCTTTTCTCAGGAAAATAAATTAAGTCCGGAAGCAGCGCTGCCGGAGGGAATGAGTTAAGCATTATAAAATTTCTTGGGCTTTCTTATCTGTCAACTATAGTTAAATAATACTGTTTCCGGTTTGTCACTTTCGTTTTCGGCCATTTTTTTTTCCCCCCCAAGTTTTAGACCAGTTCTGGCCAAAAAAAACATTGTTATGGCCATCTTAGAGACTTGAAATTTTACATGGTCATTTTTGATACAATTCTACAGGTACACCAGGTCGATTTAAAATGGGACAACGAATAGTTTTCAAAATATTGATAAATTAGACTTAGCTGCTTTCTCACATTTTTTTTTATTTACGAGATACTGATATTACTGAAAACAAAATGGATGTCATTAAAGCCCGTTCATTAACGTAACTAGAACAGTAATTCGTTTGTTGATCCGACGTTTCTAGCGCGAAAAAATAATTTTTTAGTGAACCCTATCATCCAGCACATCCAAAAAATCGTCTTAAAACCATATGGGCCGCGATTGCGTCAAAACAGCATCATATCCAAGTACCTAAAAAAGGGCTATCACTATCATACAGATGTGTTCATTTCTTAATTTATTCAATTTGAAAATTTTATCCAACTACCTACTATACTATAATTGTTTGGGAAGCGTTATACGCAGTCGGCTGCGTATAACTCTCAGGGTTATACGCAGTCGGCTAGGAATTTAGCCAAATAAGGTTTATCAATCGCTTGTTTGGCAATTTACAAAAAAAGTATTATGCGTAATTAGCTGCATGACGGGTTGTTTTGAAATAGAACTTTTAATGTGTTAAAATTGAATTAATTTTAATTAATATTGAAATTGATGATAGCAATAGTATTAGTGCTATTATTAGTATTATTGCTTGTATCTTATATATTATAATTATAAGTATAAGTCAAAGTCTACATTTCTTAGAGTCTAAGCCTAAGTCTAAGATTTTTTAAAAGGCATTTCCATGGTCTAAGTCTAGTTATGTATTTTGATTGATAAGTTTTTATATGTTGCTATGAAAAAGTATGACTATGTGGTTAGTTTTACTGACTAATTCAGGAAATACATTCTATTTATTTTTTTTAAAAAATTCATCATTTATGATTTTTTTTTTTTTTTTTGATGACCTAAATGTAACAGTTTCCAGCTTCCATGCAAAACTATAACTGTGTGAAAGTATTACTTACAGTGCCCCCTCTACAGAACCCCTGCCCTTACAGCAATTATTTTACTGCTAATCTCAACCCATGATTATATTTATTACTGTACCAGAGATACATGATTTTATCTGCCACAAAATTAGTTAACAACACAAAATATATGTTAACAACACAAACATATTAATTATAAGAATAACATTATATAATTATAAGAATAACATTATTATAGTTAATAATTCTTCTCATGTTTTAACATTTTTTAGCCAAAACAAAATTAAGTTGCCTAGTTGTTTTTGCTTCATTCTCGAGAACAAACATATCAAATAACACGTATTCTTGGCTTGCCGTTGGCTGGAATTGAACTCAAGACTCAAGACTACCAACTTGAGGTTTGGTCAGTTTGAACCATTCGACCACCCAGTCACCCCGATAATGAGGCACCCTTATTGATTGATACTGTAACACAGGAAGAATATAGACCACACTTGACTTGCCGACTGCGTATAACTCTCAGGGTTATACGCAGTCGGCTGCGCATAACCACTTCGTAATTGTTAACATTATTAAACTTATTTTTTTAATACAGCGTTTAGTTCTGAAAATAAAATCATCATTAAAACAAGAGTTATATAACTTGTGACGCGAACAGCGGAATTGGGTACCAGAAAATGGAGATGCGGTCATGTTAATAAAGGGACAAATTAAGTCGTACTTTAAAAATTCATAATTTTAAAACTACAACAGCTAAAAATATGATTTTGGTGTTATAATTCTTTTAAAAATTAGCTTTATTCAACTATGCAATTTGTTTTTGTTTTTTTTAAGTTTTAATTTTTGTATCTACTTTTTCAAGTTTGTCTATTCTATATTTGTAACGCCTAAAAACTAAAGGAATGTATATTATACTTGTATATTTTCAACCCGATTCTTAAAATTGTAATTCTGACAGGTATTGGCGTTAAAGACATCTCAAAATCGTGAACATGTCTTGGTTACGAGCCTAAAACTAAATAACGAAGTAAATTATGAGTATGACGAGCATGAAGGTGGAGGTCCATGAGCTCGACATGTGCTTAACATGGAGGAGAGTTTTTTTTATAAAAATCAAATGTATAGGGTTTTTTATATGACACCAAATAGATTAACTTAATGCAGAAGATGCATAATTAACTTACAGCTGCCATTTTGTTGATTTGAAGGTGTTTTATCAACACCAATAACAATATAGATTGTGCGGCAAAAATGCCGGAAAACGTGAAACGGTAAAAGATCGATCTATAGAATTGCACTGCGCATGTCCACGCTAAAATATAAAAATTCTTAACCTACGGTCTTATTACAGAACAAAACAGTTTTGATGCTAGGCCTGAAAACAATTTTTCATTCTTTAAAATCTAATTAACCATTTGTGAGACTTATGAATTAATGGTTTGGTTATGAACTTAATATAGATTTGATTATAATTCAAATAAATAATATGTATCGAGTAACTTTGCAAAAAGGTTTCAACGGTTGATTAGTATTAGCTAGTTAAACTAGTTATTTTAAATATGCGCCTTTTAATAAATAATCATGCTCCTTGTATTACTTGTATCCTAATCATAATCCTGCCTAGTAACTAGTAGTTAGTGCTAGTACAAGGCTAGGATTCTAGGAGTAGGAGTACTAGTTAAGATGACAATAAAATAATTAATATAATTCAATTCAATATTATTGAATATAAATACAATTATAATAATAATATATTTATAGTATATAGGCAGCTATAAAAGAGCGAACGTGTCGGCAGAAAGCCTTCGTCAGCGAACAAAACAACAGAAAAAACGTTTTTTCTGTTGTTAGATACTACTTACCAGCTAAGTGCTATTTCTTATTTTTAAAACGTTTTTTCTGTTGTTTTGTTCGCTGACGAAGGCTTTCTGCCGACACGTTCGCTGTTTTGTTGCGTTTAATTTTTCAGGTTTAACCATACTCTGTTTTACTCATTTTATTTTGTACTAACCTGATTGCAGTCTCTCCCCTTATTACCCCAGCTATAAAAGGTTGAATAACATAATAAATAGTAATATAATTATAGTGTCAAAGTCAATGGCAGTTGTTTTTTTTTAAATTAACATTAACAAAGTACAGTTGACAAATAAATCACTTATAATATAACTTATAATATATTATATTACTAGCCAATATACCCGGCATTGCACGGCTGCACGGGATTGCATTTGGACCCCATCCTAGAAAGATCCCAATGGGACCCCAATCCCATGCCCATTCTGACCACGATCCAGGCGCAATCCTTTTTCCCGGGGTGATCCCGTTCCCAGTGGGATTTCGTTTTCTTGTGGCTCCAGATCCAGTGTGAATTTAGATCCCGTCGGTGTCTTGATCCCAGTGGAATCCTGATCTCGTCGGATCCCGATGGCCTACCAATACCGTTAGGATACAGTTCTCACTGGGACCCTGTTACACCTAATTTATTTTGTACTAACCTGATTGCAGTCTCTCCCCTTATTACCCTACACCTAGGGACTCTTTTTTCCGATCCTAACCCTTTTCCTGATAGGATCCCAATCCCAATTTGATTGCGTTTCCCGATGGGATCGCGTACCCGATAGGTTTCAGTTTAGTGTTGGATCTCGTTCCCCATTTTATTCCTGTTCCTCTATGGCTATGGGATCATGCTCAGTGCAAATTTGTTCAAATAAGCTTTTAGATTACATTATATATCCTCGTGGAACAATAAAGAACCTTCTGGAAAATTCTAGATTAAATTTAAAATCTTCCATGAAACGTGTAAAAAATTAATCGTCTCTATAATTATTTCTCGAAAGCGAATTATTATACAACTTAATTAAACTACTATAACTATTGAACATTTAAAATAAAATTGGGGGCCCCTGTGAGGGCCCATTTAATAAAGTACCGTTTCAGTTATGTCTGAGATGGGGTGGGGGCCCTATAAAAATCATTGAGATAAATTATAGAGTTAAAATTTAAAATTTGTCCCATTAAAATCAGATTAAAAATACCATTGTTATAGCTTTTTAAAATTATGGAACTTTCTAGAAAATTCTAGATCGGCCCTGCATGGATGGATATTACTAGTTTTAATCCACCGATATTTCATTACGAACAATAAAGGTTATTGCTACTACGCTATGCTTATATCAACCAATTCGCATAGAACCTATAGTGTTGTTTATTGATATTTATACAGACCTGTTTACTCTCAAACTCTTAAAATCGTACAATATCATCACATAATTTTTCAGTACCTTATATTTATAGTAAAAAATAAACATACTGTATATATAATGTTTATACCTCAAAATCGTACATTGTACGCCAAAATCGTAAGAGTAAACAGGTCTGTTTATATAGCTTAAATTAGGAAAAATAAAATGGGGCCCCAGAAGAATGAATATGATGAGTTCAGTTCCCTTCGGTTTTTGAATTTGGATAATCAAGTATATGTTTACTAAGTTTGGTCAAGATCCATCCATTCATGTAGGAGTACAAAGCTTATTAATATTTATAAAGCTTATATAAGAAAAAGTTTGGTCAAGATCCATCTACGGATGTAGGAGTATTTGTTAATTATATTTATATAGCTCATATAAGGCAAAAAACTAATTCGGGCCCCCGGCCCCAACCGGAATGTTATAAAAAGTTCATAACCCTTTAAGAGTTCCTTCTGGATCATGATGGATAGATGTGCCAAGTTTGGTCAAGATCCATCAATCCATGTAAAAGCCTTTGGGTTTGTGGAACAAACCCACAAACAAAATTTCACTTTTATATAGATATATATATGATATATTAACTGAAAATAAACCTATGCCTATACCTATAATTGGGTGTCCAATTTAATTTTATTAGCTTTAACTATTCAGTTAACACTGAGACTGAGCGACTATGAGTATGTCTAAAGTCAAAAGTGACCAATTAAACTACAGACTAAAGAAAGTGTCTGACTAAAGTCTAAAGTAAAGACTAAAGACATTTTGGCTAAAACTAATAGCATATATTTATACTTTAGAGAATTTAGAATCAACTGCACTGTAATTTTAATGTAGTAGCATCAATTAGATAATAAGATTAGAAAAAATGTCAGGGTTAGGGGGACCTACTTAACTTAATTATAAATTATGTTAATTATAATTAATCACAATTCATATTCATTCATATTAATCATATTTAGTCATAGTTCAGTCTCATACTCATGGAATGCCAGGGTAAAATGTATGTATTAATTATAATTTAGTATTATTTAGCATTGAATATTTGTTATAATAGTTATAAAATTATTATTTATAGTTGTAATAAAATGGTCTGCCTTATTAATCCCCGTTAAATAATTAGCTTTATTATTTATAATAATAATATTATGCAGGATTATTGAAAGTAAGAGATCTAAATTTTAAGTAATAATTTAAAGTTAAAATTCTTAAACTTTAAAGTTAAGGTAAACTTTTAATCAATATATTAACTTTAACACTTAAATGTAAATGATTAAAATAATTTAATCAATAATTACTAATATTCTAGCCGAACCTAATTTTGTAATAACTACTAAACTAGCCTAACTAGTTTAAGAACTAAGACCAAAGTTACTAACTTAACAAGAGGAAGACTAGAGTAGATTGGCATACTACTATAAAGTCTATCTGAAGGGGGCCTTTGATAATTTAAGGGGCCTAAATTTGTGATGTGGACTTTTTAAAAACTATTAACCTTTAATGCAGGCGGGCAATAAAGTCGAAAAGTGGCAAGAGGCCTCCAAAAGTTAAATGATAGCTATGATTATGCTATATAACAGTCTAAAGCTAAGCCTACACCTACATATTTGTTTTGAAATTACTATACTCATAACCATTATAACTAATTACAAAGCCTATTTAGGTTAAAATGTGATTAATTTAAAATTAGGGGACCTTGTAATTTGTTGTTTGCCCTTCGCATATGAAGATCAAGATGACCAAGGCTATATTCGGCGGTGAATATACAGGTCTCTTTTGTGCCCTATTTGTATCAGTAAATCATGGTGTTGGAGTCATTTCTGCTTTTTGCTTTCTTTAGGCTTGAGTGGTACATTTAGTTTCTGAGGAGTGTGCTCCAAACTTGGTGAGTCTGTCTGGCCAACTTATGTCATTCAAAGCAAATGTTTCCCATGAGTTCAGGTCGATGTCCATGGATTTGAGGGGCACTTTTTGGAAATCTTTAAATTTAAAGCGTTTTCTCAACCTGAAAACAAGCAAGTAATTGCAATAGGGCATATGGATGTCAACAGAGCTGTCGTTATAAATTAATACTAATTGATGTCATATTTGAATGACTAGAGTAAATTTAAATCCTGAAATCACTAAGGTTATCTTTTTTATTCATTGCTGTAACATTTTGGTAGTAAATTACAGATTACATCAGCCTTTACATTCCATTCCATACTCTTTGAACCAAGATTGTCCTATACATCTGATTTCACCATTCTATTTTGTATATTTTGCTTTGAATAGTGTCACACACTGATTTTCTCAAAAAGTTAAAATCAAATCTTTGGAAATTATGTTGCATAAAAATTTAATCTCATTAAAAAGAAGGCCATTGAATGATCGTTATGTTGTTTTTAAATATCATGGGTAAAGTGACCATTTTTTTTTTCACATTTAAGAAACCATTACATTTTAAAATGTTCACTAAAATGAGAACAATTAAAATTGTTTCGGCACAATGCATGTTAAAAAAAAATCCAATTATTTGTAGTTACACTCAGAACTCTTCTGATTCTAATTATATATAATAATAATAATAAAAGAAGAGGTCTTATATAGCGCGGTACCCCAGCCTAGGGCTGGGCTCACCGCGCTGTACATAAAAATTTTATCAAAAGAGACATAATCATGTCTCTTTTGATAACATGATTTTGGGAACATGATTTAAAATAACTAGTTTAACTAGCTAATACTAATTAATTTGCTTAATATATATGCCTTGATATCAGATGTACTTGATCTTTTGATTAATTATTTTTTATTTTGTTATCCTTAACGGAACTGGATAAACTCATGATTAACCAGGGCAAAGGTCAGAAAACTGGTACTGTACTGGTAAAGCATGAATGGTCACCTTCCTTTTGACAATCAGCCTCTTTTCAGCGTACAAGAGCCATTGACCTCTTACTCAGTGAATTTGGAGCTATTTACACATTACACTTCAAAATAACAGTTTTTTAAAATATGTTTTGGCAATATTTTTCAGATTCAAGATTGTCCTGACGAAACTGCAGTCCTGCAACAAATACCCTTAAACGGAACTGTTTTTTGTTGTTTTGAAAAGCGGTTGATTTCTGCTATGAATCTATTTAACTCATTAAGTTAACAATTGTTAAAAATTGACACTTAGATGCAATTAAATTTCTGGCTAGCCGTATTTCATGTAAAAAATAAATTGGTTTTGGAAGAATTTTCTTATTCATCAAAATACCAAACAATGGTTTGCCAAGCAGAATTTACCAAGAAGCTTTGCAATCCCTGTTTTCTTCTTTTGTCACGCATCATTGTTATAATCCTTACAGCTCTTCAAGGTGGTGTAATCAATTATTATCTCATTTACTATCAAACCCACAACTGGTATTCATGGATTGCTGGGGATGTTGCCATATTCTTCAGTTTTTTTATGGCATTCTTCATTTCTTACAGAGAGTTAAAAATAGTTCATGATATCAGAACAACCAACCGTGGTCAGTCCTTCAGATCTACTGTTGAAGCGGGTAGTTTTCCACTGGTGTACTTTGCATGGCTGGTTTATTCTGTGATCCTTGCTGTGCGGGTTGGTATCATCTACAAGGATCTGGCTTATGAAATTAAACCAGGCATCTTGTTGGGAACAAATATGTTGAGGCTTACCATTGCCATGTCTGGTGTCATCTTTTTACTGGTGGTTGCAGCTCATCATGACACTCGTCCAGGAACAATGGCCCGAAATCAAATAAACCTCCTTTCAACGATGGTCCCCTTTGATATCATCGATGCAGTTGACATTCTCAGTGTGTTCTTCTTGAAGGAAAATAGGGATGCTCTGGATCCAGTACTGCAGTGGTTTGTAATCATCATGGGATGTATTAATCTTGTACTGCCGGCTGTGCCCCTGATGATGCTAAGTGGAAGTCGTTTTGGATCCAAACCCTTAACCCCGTATTTGCACAGCTTAAATAAGCTGATCCATATCTTTGTTATCAACATTCCACTTTTTACTGTTAGACTTCTGATGTGGCTTAAGGAGGACCAAGAGGTGTCACCCCTCATCATGAAAAACATAGTATTGATTATAATGCTATCCTTTGATTTGTATGAGGGACAAGGAGGCAAGTTAAAGGACTTGAATGACTTTGAAGAGGAGGAAGGGGAGAATATGACGACTAAGAGGAAATCTGATACTGCATTGGTATCTAACTTTAATAACAACAACAATTATATCTAACAGAGTAAATATTAATCAGTGTCATTGATTTGGAGAAGGTTTTTATTTTATTAATTAAATTAGATTCATTCAAAAATATTAGAGAGTATGATGCTCAGTGATTCTCAAGCTACATGTAAAGCTTGTGTAACATAACATTGTTCTAGAGGGTAAACATAGTTTTAATAAAAACTACTGTACTGTACGCTTAAAAAATAAATTAATGTTCAAAGCAAATTGATTTGCTTGATTTTTTTTTTTTTTTCAAGAGCTTCTTTAATAAGACTAAAAGTAATTGCATAAAGTTACAGAACGTTTATATATATATTGATAGTCTTTTTTTTTTTTTTTTTAAAGATTAGATGAACCTAATTTTATTCCAAATTCTACAGAACTATAAGAATTAATATTTTTTCAATATCGATACATAAAAATATTTTTAAAAAANCTGCGTGATATTACATTTTTATTTTCATTACAGTTTATGTAAATGTATTTTAGGTGCTTTGCTTTGATGATAAACGGTAAACCATTGTATTTTTTAATTTTACAAATCCTCTAACTTTCTCATTGTATGATTTATTAATTTTTTTTTTTTTTTTTGAATTGTCATTGCTCACTCTGAAGTGTCATCTTTATTTTTGATGCACTTTACATTTCAATTTAAAAACTTACTTGACAATATGATCTGTATCTCATTTATAAAACATTCCAAATCATAATGTCCATATTTTTTTTTTTTTTACAAATGACTTGATATTAATATAAAATAATTTTTCCTGACGTTTTAAAATGTGTTTTTGTAAAAGGTGATTAGTTAATTAAATTATTTTTTTAACAATGTAAATCTAGTTGAATTCAAATAGTTTGAATCATTTTCTAAAAAAAAACAATTTTTGGTAAGAGCCGCATGCTAAAACAAATAATTTAAAAATAACTGTAGTAAATGTCTGTACAGACTTATATTCTCAAACCCATTATTTTCTGTTTTGGTTATTGAGAGATTTTAATTTCATATATTGCAATACATATTGAATCTTGGTATCTTTATATAAATAAATGAGGAGAATGATTTTAAAAGAGATAACATTTGATACAAATTGGAAATGTGTGAGTCTTTTGACTCTGTTGTTTCAATATGTTTTCCAAGTGGAAATCCCAAACGATTACATTTTATGTAAATAAAATAATTGTTTTGTTGAAATGCTCATGCATCAATATTATTGATACCATTGATTAGAATTTGGGGATATAGGCTACTGAATAATGGTTCTTACAATTTAACCATTTGCAATCAGCGAGTTGTTGGATCTTGAGGGGCTTTTTCAATAGATTTATTCATCTATTGTTGTTGATAAAATTATAATTGTATTAAATTTTTAAGGGAAATATTTTAAACCTTTTTGATACTGCTAAAAATATTCAGTTTTATATATCATGTTTTAAACTGCTCAAATAGACAGTTTCTTTTTTTATAGACAAAAGTCTTTCATCATTCTTTGCCACTATGCAAATTAAATAAAGCAATATTTTTTCCATTTTCAAATAAACATTCTGTAATGAACCTTCTGAAATAATTACTCAAACAATTTTGAAAACCACTGCTTTAAGATATTAAAGGATTTGTTCTTTATGTAATTTTTAGATAACTCATTTGAACCCCCCCCCCCCCCCCCCCCACACAAAACCCCACACCCCCCTCTTTTTTTTTTTTTTTTTTTTTTATTTTTCTTTCTTTTTTTTTTACCTCTTTTTTTTTTGTTCTAATTTTTTTTTT